TAATACTGTGTTTACAAGCCTGGCTCCAGCGTTCCTTACATGGAGGAGCCATTGTTCATATTTCCTTGTGATGGTACCAGAACTATAATTAATACTGTGTTTACAAGCCTGGCTCCAGCGTTCCTTACATGGAGGAGCCATTGTTCAGATTTCCTTGTGATGGTACCAGAACTATAATTACTACCGTGTTGACAAGCCTGGCTCCAGCATTCCTTACATGGAGGAGCCATTGTTCATATTTCCTTGTGATGGTACCAGAACTATAATTAATACTGTGTTACAAGCCTGGCTCCAGCGTTCCTTACATGGAGGAGCCATTGTTCAGATTTCCTTGTGATGGTACCAGAACTATAATTACTACCGTGTTGACAAGTCTGGCTCCAGCATTCCTTATTGGAAGACCTAATAACTAGATAAAGTAACCAAAATTACAACATATTTCTACGTGTTTGTGCTTAAACTGTTGAATATACATCAGATGTAAGATAGAAAAATATTAAAGAAGATAAAAAACGTTAGCTATTGGCCTCTCTATGCACCTGTTGTTTGACTGTTGTACGATGCGATAGAATACTGATGATTAAGGTTTCAGCAATGAAAAGAGCATTAAGTCTATAAAGGAAAAACTACCAGCGAAGACCAAAAGGTTATTTGGAGGACTATGGCTAACTGTTTTTTCTTCCGGTGGTCCTGATTTTTTTTGTTAACGTTTAAAACTTTAAATAGTTAGGCCCATCATAGCAAAGTGGTTAGGGCGCTCGATTCGCAATCGGAGGGTCGCGGGTTTGAATCCCCATCCCATCAAACATGCTCCCCTTTCAGCCGTGGGAGCGTTATAATGTGATGATCAATCCCACTATTCGTTGGTCAAAGAGTTGCCCAAGAGTTGGCGGTAGGTAGTAATGACTAGCTGCCTTTCCTTTAATCTTTCACTGCTAAATTTAGGACGGCTAGTGCAGATAGCTCTCGTTTAGCTTTGCGCGAAATTCAAATCAAACATACAATTTAAACAGTTGCATAGAAACTCAGGAAAGTTTTTGGACAAAATTCATGAATTGGGTCCAAACGTGTGGATATGGATTGAAATCCAGAATTTTAGTCTTAAAGCACGTAGTCCATAAGAAAAACAAATCACAGTAGCCAAAGGATACTACCTGCATGATTATTCCAAGCACATGCCAGTAATTATGTTTTGTTACTGGTCTATATAATAGTTAGCATGCTCGGACTGTGAACCCGAAGGTTCATTGTTTTTGTCCCGTTGCCTTAAAAACCCTGCTTTTTGGAGTGTTAATTGCGCTGTATGAGCGAAAGTCAAATTCTACTATTTGATTTGACAACAGTAGCCCAAGAGTTGGCGGTGGGTGCTGTTGATTAGCTGCCATTTCTCTACTGTAGTTTAAAGTGCGCAGATAGTCCTTATAACTTTGCATGCAATTTTAAATGGACTTTGGTTGTTCAGTCTACAGTTAATCATTCTTGAAGAACTAATAATAAATACTTATACACACACAATAAAATAATTTTTCTTTGTGTTGAATTCCGAGTAAAGCTACACGAGGGCTATCTGCGCTAACCGTTTTTAGTTTAACAATGTAAGACTAGGGGGAAAGCAGCTAGTCATCACCACCAACTCTTGAGCCACTCTTTGACCAACGAATAGTAGGATTGACTGTTGCATTATAACACCCAAACAGCTGAAAGGGCCCTATAAAATGAAGCTATAAAACGAAAATAATGTTTTGGAATCGACGATAGGATATATATTTTTTTTTTACAGAGATATAGATCCCACCTAACAGGACCAGATAAATAGATGAATATTTGTCCTCCGCATGAGAGTTAAAACCTTCGTAAACGGCCTTGATCCGTATAGATAACACGAAATATTTGGATGCCCGGAGCTATGATAGTTTGAGAAAGGGTTGCTGCGAATTTCATACCTACTAGTCCGGTTCTGCTTGCGTGTAAAATACAACTCTATATTTAATTAGTAAATTTACAAAAAAAAAAAAAGATCGGTAGCTTAGTTACAGTCGATAGGCTAATCCATCTTAGGCCTGATATGCAAATACTCATGCGTGACCAACTTACCGACTCCAAATTATTTAGTTTTGTATTTATAACACTTTCTAAGCTGCGTAGCTGAGAATAGAATAGTTATTGTTTAATACGACAGGAAACAGCTGTGATTGAACGAAATGACCCAGACTGCCCACTCGAAGCTCCGACGGAAAAGGCCGAGCTGTTCCGAATGTCGAATTGTCCTGGTTATTTGGTCGCGAAGACTGAATAATTTGCCGAGAGATTTGACGTCTGTATCACATATGCTAGTTTAAATTGTATTATTTTTACTACCATGGGAATAAGTCGGAGATGTGAATGTAGTCTAGATATGTATATGTTTGCAACGTGTAATAATTTAGTAATTATACTGAAAAACAAAACAGAAGTGGGTGTGTAGAATTTGTTCGTGCTATTGCGTCAAAGAAATGTTACGTCCCTTTGATTAGCGTGCTAGTATATACAGTGGAACCATCAAACCGAGACAAAACAAAAACAAACTGTAAAAAAAAGTCGCGAAAACATGGATCTACAGAAATCAAAAAGTCGTTAAAGCATAATGTAAGCAACTTCTAATACATACACACTCTACAAAACAGTTAAATAATTAAATTATAATGTTTTAGCTATGATAAGGCAAAAAACTTTGTCACAGAATAATACCATCACACCCCACCCCTCCTGTTTTAGGTCATTTTAATGAACATTAAGCCTTTGAGCATTAAGCAATGTAAATAATTGTTAGTTAAGCCTAGGGTCGGACTGAGGATCAAAGGCTCCGTGGTTCGTGACCTGCCCCCCATCCCCCATGGATGCGTTATAGAAGTGACAGTCAAATTCCACTATTTGATTAAAACATCCCATGAGTTGTTGGTAGGTGATATTGACTAATTCCCTTCCCTCTTCTCTTTAAAATTAGAGACGGTTAGTGCACATAACCCTCGAAATTCAACAAAACTAACGTTCGTAAATGAACATTTGGTAGAAGTGTCCTTACATTTTTACAATTCAAAACCCATCATTTCAATACGGGGTAGAGCAGGGTTTCTCAATATTTTGCAACTCAAGTCCCTCTTGGTCATTTACTACTATAGTAAGGGGCCACATTCGAAGTTGATGGCATAGTTTTCCCAGCCTGCGACGGCCCATAACTGAGCTTCTCATGACCCACCCGTTGAAAATAGCTTTTGTATCCATCACTGTTAGCAAGAGAAGCCTAACTCTGATGTTGCATGTTTAACAAGACTAGCTCCGACCGTCAGAGTTAGACTTTTTAAACATACAACGTCAGAGTTAGATTTTTTAAACATACAACAACATCACAGCGAGACTTGTTAAGAATCCAACATCACAGCGAGACTTCTTAAGCATCCAACATCAGAGTTAGACTTGTTAAACATACAACATCACGGCTAGACTTGTTAAGAATCCAACATCACAGCGAGACTTCTTAAGCATCCAACATCAGAGTTAGACTTGTTAAACATACAACATCAGAGCTAGGCTTGTTAAACATACAACGTCAGAGTTATACTTTTTAAACATACAACGTCAGAGTTACACTTTTTAAACATACAATTGTTAAACATACTACGTCAGAGTTAGACTTGTTAAACATACTACGTCAGAGTTAGACTTGTTAAACATGCATCGTCAGAGCTAGGCTTGTTAAACATACTACGTCAGAGTTAGACTTGTTAAACATACAACGTCAGAGTTAAACTTGTTAAACATACCGAGACTTGTTAAGCATGGAACATCACAGCGAGACTTGTTAAGCATCCAACATCAGAGTTAGACTTGTTAAGCATCCAACATCAGAGTTAGGCTTGTTAGACATTCAACATTACAGCTAGGCTTATTAAGCATCCAGCATCAGAACTAGGCTTGTTAAGCATCCAGCATCAGAGCTAGGCTTGTTAAGCATCCAGCATCAGAGCTAGGCTTGTTAAACATCCAACATCACAGCTAGACTTGTTAAACATTCAACATCACAGCTATACTTGTTAAGCATCCAGCATCAGAGCTAGGTTTGTTAAGCATCCAACATCAGAGTTAGACTTGTTAAACATACAACATCAGAGCTAGGCTTGTTAAACATACAACACCACAGTTAGATTTTTTAAACATACAACGTCAGAGTTAGACTTTTTAAACATACAATGTCAGAGTTAGACTTTTTAAACATACAACGTCAGAGTTAGACTTTTTAAACATACAACCTCAGAGTTAGATTTTTTAAACATACAATGTCAGAGTTAGACGTGTTAAACACACAACGTCAGAGTTAGACTTGTTAAACACACAACGTCAGAGTTAGACTTGTTAAACATACAACATTACAGCTAGGCTTGTTAAGCATCCAACATCAGAGCTAGGCCTGTTAAACCTCCAACATCACAGCTAGACTTGTTAAACATTCAACAACACAGCGACAGATGTTAAACATCCAACATCACAGCGAGACTTGTTAAACATCCAACATCACAGCGAGAGTTGTTAAACATCTAAAATCACAAAGAGACTTGTTAAGCATGGAACATCACAGCTAGATTTGTTAAACATACAACATCAGAGCTAGGCCTTGTTAAACATACAACATCAGAGCTAGGCTTGTTAAACATACGATATCAGAGTTGGATTGTTAAACATACAACATCAGAGCTAGACTACTTAAACATACAATATAATAGCTAGGCTTGTTAAACATACAACATTACAGCTAGGCTTGTTAAGCATCCAACATCAGAGCTAGCTCTGATGTTGTATGTTTACAGATCCTAGCTCTGATGTCGCATAATTAACTTCAGTCACTCGCAGTAACCACAATATGTTATATCAGTAATATTATGGATCCTGAGAAGAATCTCACAGCAACTTCATTACCAACAAAGAAATGTATTTCTGGAATCCACAGTGTTGATGTATGAATAGTTTGTACTGTTGATTATCCAACCAAGAAAACAATTGGTATGTTGAACAGAGTGTGAGTTGTTTATTGTTAAAATGTTAATGGTTCTTTCAATATTGTGGTTTATTTTATATTTATAAATCTTTTATTTTATTGCAGTGTCGGTCCGGTAATACTGTACCCACAATCGCCATCTTTAGAGAAGAAACGCAGATGGGTCCAGGCCGTTTCAGAATCGTGTTCTTTGGTTTTCTTTATTGGATTTGTCATCTTATCCATCTTAACCCCGTGGTTATGCATTCCGTCATATGTAATTGACACCAAGGAACAAACCACTTTTCAGATCCTAATGTTTAGTCTGGTTGTTGTCTCGTTTGGTTTACTCTTCGTCGGTTGTATTATTGGTAACTTTTACTGGCGTTACGAAGAAAAAAGCAAAACCTGGCGTCCAATTCTCCACTGTGGTAAAGGACCAAACCATAATTGGGGGTGGTTCTTCTCAAGTGAACCTACCAGACTCAAAGAGGGAGAAATTGTCTAACAGAGACTTTTTTTCCTCAAACTGAAATCAAACCAATATTTTTGTATCACCATAGAAGCTCCATACAATTAAAACAAAAAATACGTTAGAAATACCTTTTTCTGAAAAAAATAGCAGTCTTTAATGTTTAGTTCTTATGCAAGTTTATCGTTTTAAGGGCATGTATTTTTTTACCCTAAATTGTGTTAACATATTGGTTCTTCGGAAAGGGAATTCCAAGGGACTTTGGAATGTTCAAATAGCCTGGCTAGCAGTATAATTGCTGACTTTTCTAATTTTTTAAAATCTTGACAAAAATCCCCCTGTAATCATCTGAGCAAGATGCAATGGTATAACGTTCAGAAGTAATATTTAAAAATTTTTCTTCTCATTCACACTATTAGAGTTTAAACTGATTATTGACTAACCAGGCAACAAATCACTGTTTCATCTCTCTGAAAACACTGATGATGTAGAATCCAGTACTTATTGGAGGATTGGCAAATAAGACACATAGTACAAGAAAGACGCATAATACGTGACAAGGAAAAGTTGGTCCCAAAACAAGAAAGAATAGGAAGATGATGTACTAAACCACTTCTTTCTGATTGTTCGTCTGTTTCTTCGATATCATCATCTGGAATAAACCTGTAGGTTAGAGAAAGACAGAGGAAATGGTTCTTTTTGTCAATAATTTAAGAAAGAAATAAAGTTTTCACTTTGACAAGAGTTCAGTATGAAATATACACAATGTGTTGAGCAGCTGTAATCAAGATAAAGAGCTCTTAATTGCCAATATTTTCTATAGGTTGCTATTTTTAACCTTTGCAGACAGACTAACACAGTTGAGAGCAGTATTGGAGTCATGTCACCTAGTGGGCAGTTGATGGGTATTATACTGAAAACCCTCTAGTTACTTAGTAACACAAGATAACAGTAGTTGAATGTTAGTGACAGACCTTCTAGTTACTTAGTAACACAATATGACAGTAGTTGAATGTTAGTGATAAACCTTCTAGTTACTTAGTAACACAATATGACAGTAGTTGAATGTTAGTGACAGACCTTCTAGTTACTTAACCTTCTAGGTTACTTAGTAACACAATATGACAGTAGTTAAATGTTAGTGACAGACCTTCTAAGTTACTTAGTAACACAATATGACAGTAGTTAAATGTTAGTGACAGACCTTCTAGTTACTTAGTAACACAATATGACAGTAGTTGAATGTTAGTGATAAACCTTCTAGTTACTTAGTAACACAAGATAAC